TTTTTTTTATTTTTTGTGGGGGGGGGGGGGGGGGGGTTCCCTATCGAAATGAAGTGGATTTAAGGATTATTTATTTAATTCAGTGAATTTTCCCAAACGCTTTGTCCAGAGCATTGCATGGTTATTTTCTCGTTTCTCGTCCTCTGCGGAGGACAGCAGAGGATTCTAGAAGGAAATATCGATGGCATACGTTAGGCGCGAACGGACGGAAATGGTATTTTTTGGCCGTCCAGCGAGTACTGAAAGCTGAAAGTCTGAAAGACTGAAACATTGGCTGGTACAAGCAGATAAAATTCTATGTATTCAATTTGTATTCGGCTTTGTGGACGTCTCTCCGTGCTATTTGTGACATAGCCAGTGAGTGGCAAATGTCGGAAATCGTTATCCTTTTGCTATTCAGCTTGAGACATGCTAATTTGGAGGAGGTTTGAGCTCTGCTGCTCTGGTTCTGGTGCTGTTTCTTAGGGCACTGTCTTTTGCTATTCACTGTACTTTCGCTGACAGTATTTGCCTTACGCTTTTCGGCGTTGTGGTGACGCGTGTCCTGGCACGCTATTCAGGACCTTCTTCCCCTGACCTCAACGCGCTATTCACAACCTTCTTGGCCTTTCAACTCAACGCCCTAGCACTCGTTTTTGTATGCAAACGGGCATACGGTGTAAACGTTTTCCTTTGTCAATCTGTTCAGCGAAATTACATTATCTGACAACACATCATGCAGCCCAGAGGCTCCAGGCTTTGGAAGAAAGCCCCTTCAGAGTCCAGGCTGGCGGGTCTGGGATCTCTTCTCCTGACTGATACACAACGAGCAGTTGTCATCACATGAGCTCGGAAAAGAGTCAGGCTCGCATCCAAAAAGATCAGGACATCAGAGGTTACCCAAAGCCGTACCATAGTGAATTGGTTGGGCTTAAAAAGAATTAGCCTTATAAAAATAAAAAAAAGTTGTACCGTAGTCGGTCGTAATGTCCTCAGATATTGCACGATATCCTTGGATGTCACATGGTTTTGTACTCTCTCTCTCTCTCTCTCTCTCTCTCTCACACACACACACACACACACACACACACACACAGTCTTCCGTCGTAGGTAAGTTGCCTTCTGCCCTCCATCCCCTTACGGTTGGAAATATATATGTATACATATGTATATGTGCAAGTGTGCCGCTTTGGCGGCAGACTGGTGTGTGGGCACTTGGCGCTGAACCACGCAAACGTGGCCAACCTTGCATTGTCTATTATATTGCCTATCTAAACTTTCTCGTTATGGATGGCTTGTGATGATTTTTGAAAGGGAATGAGAGAGAGAATCTGGGGTCTTTTGAAACAACACACACACACACACACACACGCACACGATAGCCTTTTTTTTTTTTTTTTTCACGCACTAGAGCACACACCACTTTTCTGCGCATGGCGCATTGCGCCGTGCACCGTTCTGCGCACCGCAGTAGAGCGCCGCAACTATGGTATAAAGCCATGTATATGCTTACCCACATTTACCAACCTGGGTAAAAGTACTAAAAGCCTAGGTTGTTTTTCCGGGCGCCCAGGCACCCAACTTGTGCCCGGACACATGCCCGGGTGCCCAGCCGGGCATGACCCCCGGGCAGGGCTCCAGGCAGCCCCAGCGCAAAAGAAAAAAAAA